TGAAGACCATTGAGAGTGATCAGATGATACCAGCTCTGCTTCTACCCTTCCGGGGTAGCCTCCTTTTTGAGGCGGAATCCATGGAGATTGTGCTGTTCCCACAAGGAGAAGCGGCGGGGAACGATGCTCTCTACGATGTGGAGGATGATGACGACAGTGCCTCCAACTCCTTCCTGCACTCTCTCTCGGAAACATCCATTGACGAAGGTGTGGACGAGTCCTTTGCTTACCCGGACGACACCTCCCAGTCCTCAGACTCAGCTTCCAATGATGGCAAGGATGGCGTGGAGCAGTATGCTGTGGTCGCCGACATAGTTGTAGAGTCCAAGGAAGACACAGAGAGAGCGCTGCTGCACGTGGAAAGTGAGAGCGAGATGGACATATCCTCAGATGCGTACAACACGGATGAAGACACCGTTCATGGAACAGGGGAAGAACAGACGAGGGGAGAGACCGAGGAAAAGGGTACGCCAAAAGAGGAAAAATTGATTGAGGATGACATAATGAAACCTCCAAGATCCTTTGATACAACGGTTGTGTCCCGGCTGCAAGCTAGACCAGAGAGCCCAGGTGGTGTCTCCGCAAAGAGCATTTCTCATCTGGGGTCAGGAGATGAGGACTCTGTGGCGGATTCTGAAGATTTGACTCCCCCAACTCAGGACGACAAAGAAGAAGATTCCCTCAAGGAAATGGTCCTCTCCGATGTCTCTCCAACACATCTGCCTCACTCAGATGTCCAACCAACTGACCTGGAATCGGGGCTCTCTGAGTGTGGGGAGTGTCTGATTGCTTGCTTTGATACCGATGATGAATCAGACAACCAGCCTCCGTTGAGCGACACTGTGGAGGAATCTCCATCAGTCGGTCCCTTAGCCGAGGAATGGATGACCCAGGTTTGCGCAGGGTCAGTCATCCCCCTGGGATGGAACCCCATATCCTGCCCAATTGAGTTGGAAGATCTGGAAGCCGTGGACAACAATGACTCTTCTAGCTTGGACATCGGTGCGCGGCTTGAAGAATCTGAGAAACGGCTGATGGAGCTCCTCGACCAAGATGGTGCCACCAGCGGAAGCTCCACCGAACTGGAGCTGGGTGACGGTGAGCTGTTGGGGACCTCTTCCGAGAAGGAGAGGCCCTTTGCGTCGCTCCTTGAATCGAAGGAGGCTCTTTTAGAACAACCTGAAGTGGCCCAAACAGATACTGAGACAACCCAGGACAGTCTCATTGTCTGTCTGGAGTCAGAAGACGAATTGGAGGAAGCGTCGTCTCTTGACCAGATCAACAACAATGAGGACCGTGCGATGATGGCGTTTTCTGAGGCAAAACCTGACTCTCATTCTCTCCTGGTGCTGAGCCACACCCCAGAGAACATCCTTACAGAAGACAACGGAGTCCTTCTCGATGCCTCGGCACCGTTGCCCCANCAGATGGCTCGCAAAGCATCTCCTCTGCCTCGACGCCCAGCGGAGAAGTCCAGCCCGCCACGCCGATTTCTCTGGCTGTCACACCCGACACTCCCACCGACGTGTCAGTGTTCCTGCCGGTGAAGAAGAAGAAGGAAGACCGGCCACAACCCGAGGGGGCCAGTTGTGACACAACCACCAGCAACGCCGCGGCCGGCTCAGTGGCGCTGAGCGAATGTGGCCAGATCGTGATGGAGCAGGCTCCCAAATCTGGCGGGACGAGGCCCCGAAGTCCTGAACACTCTCCGGGGACAGATCTCCTGGACGCGCGCATCGTGATGGGTGAGGAGACCCACTGCCTCAGGGTGGCAGTACAGGACATCCTTGGGGTCCCCACGCCTGGCATCTCAGAGACCACCTCTGGCGAAGAGATGAGCAACATGGGCAACGAAGGCTTGGATGCGGCATTCCAGGGTGCGCCTCTCCCTCCCGTTGCAAGAGGCTTCGGTAACCTCCATGCTTGCGCATCCGTGTCCCCGCCAGGACTTCTGAAGTCCCAGGAGCTGGCTGGGGTGGGAGTGTTCCCTCTCTCTCAGGGCGAGCCAATGGCCAACGTGCCTTCCCTGTCTCCCACACTTGCCAAAGACCTTCCCGCAGAGTTGGCTGAGTCCCAGCTGTTCCTTGCCAAGCATCCGTGTAGCCTCGACACCGAGCTTTACTTCACGGCTCCATCCACCCCGATCCGGACTCTGTTCCCCCCTCTCAGGCAGCCCCCGTTCTCAAAAGACGGCCTGAGCGAGGAGCAGAACGAGGTAGACAGCGACAGCCTCTGCTCTCCACCCACCTCGCCCTCGGGCTCCTACATCACCGCCGAGGGAGGCAGCTGGACTTCGACAGGCACCGCTAGCACATCACCATCCTGCTCGCCAAACCTCTTAGCCGAATCAGAAGCCCTGGAAGCCCCAACGGCGGATGAGGAGGCTTTGTCCGAGTTAGACTTTCCAGAAGGGGAACCAAAACTTTCCAGGGTGACTTGCCCCACTTTTGGAGCTTTCCCGCGGCTGTCCTACAACACCTTTCCATCGTCGTACCCTGCGGAGGAATGCAGCGTAGGGGAGGAAGAGGAGCGGATTCCTTCAGAGGAAGGCTGGGGCTGCGAAACGATTCCCTTGAAGCTTCTCCCGCATGAGGCTGAGCAGACTTCTCCCTCCTGGCCCCCTGATGATGATGAGTGCGAGGTTGGTGCCGACTTCAGCTTCACGCCTTTGGAGGAGCAGGCGCGCTTGTTGCCTTCATACGACACAGAAATTGGAGGTTTCACAAAAAGAGGGTTGGAAGCCTGCCCTTTTTCTGGTCCCTTTACTTCCGTGTCTGAGCCTCGTTCTGAGCTTCAGGGTGTGTTTGAAGCGGTCCCCACCGAGGTGGGTGAACATGGTGGCGTTCAAAGCCAGCCACCTATGTCCTTTCCAGAGGACGTCGTGAAGACCATTGAGAGTGATCAGATGATACCAGCTCTGCTTCTCCCCTTCCATGGAAGCCTCCTTTTCGAGGCGGAGTACATGGAGATTACGCTGTTCCCGCAGGGAGAAGTGGTGGAGAACGATGCTCTCTACGGCATGGAGGACAATGACAGCACCTCTGTCTCCTTTCTGTGTTCTCTCTCAGAAACCTCTGTCAAGAAAGGCGTGGATGAGTCCTTTGCTTATCCGGATGACACCTCCCAGTCCTCAGACTTGGCTTCTGATGACAGCGAGGATGGCGTTGAGCAGTACACTGGGGTCGCTGACACAGTCGTAGAGTCCAAGGAAGACCTGGAGAGCACCCCCTCGCAACTGGAGAGCGAGAGCGAAATGGATGTGTCCTTGGATGCGTACAACATGGATGAAGACACCATTCGTGGAACAGGGGAAGAACAGATGACAGGAGAGTCCGAGGAAAAGGGTACGCCAAAAGAGGAAAAATTGATTCAGGAGGACCCAATGAAACCTCCAAGGTCCTTTGATACAACGGTTGTCTCCCGGCTGCAAGCTAGGCCAGAGAGCCGAGGTGGTGCCTCCTCAAGGAGCTCTTGTATTTCTCATCTGGGGCTAGGAGAAGAGGACTCTGTGGTGGCTTCTGAAGATTTGAGTCTGCCAACTCAGGATGACAAAGAAGAAGAGTCCCACGAGGAAATGGTCCTCTCCCACATCTCTCCAAGACATCTGCCTCACTCAGATATTCAACCAACCCACCTGGAGTCAGGGGTCTCTGAGTGTGGGGAGTGTCTGATCGCTTGCTTTGATATCAATGACGAATCGGACAACCAGCCTCCGTTGACCGATACCACAGAGGAATTTCCGTCAGTTGGTCCCTTAGCCGAGGAATGGATGGACCAGGTTTGCGCAGGGTCCGTCATCCCCCTGGAATGGAACTCCAAATCATGCCCAGTTGAGTTGGAAGACCTGGAAGCCGTGGACAACCATGACTCTTCTAGCTTGGACATCAGCACGCGACTCGAAGAATCAGAGAAACGGCTGCTGGAGCTCTTCGACCAATATGGTGCTGCCAGCGGAAACTCTGCTGAACTGGAGCCGGGTGACAGTGAGCTGTTGGAGACTTCTTCCGAGAAGGAGATGCCCTTTGTGTCACTCCTTGAATCGAAGGGGGCTCTTTTAGAACAACCTGAAGTCATCCAAGCAGATGCCAAGACAACCCAGAACAGTCTCGTTGTCTGTCTGGAGTCAGAAGATGAGCTGGAGGAAGTGTCGTCTCTTGACCAGATCAACAACAATGAGGACCGTGTGATGGTGGTGGCATTTTCTGAGGCAAAACCTGACTCTCATTCTCTCTTGGCGCTGAGCAACACCCCAGAGACCATCCTTGCAGAAGACAACAGGGTCCAAGAATCTCCTCTGTTTTCCCCACACAGGGAGGAAGCAGCAGATTTGCAGAACTGGAGTTCATGTGGAAAGCAGAATAGCTCAGTCAATCCAGAAATAGAGGACTACTCTGGACACTCTTCCAATGATGAAGCGGTGGTAGATGACACCATAACACCTAATCTTTCCAAACTGTGCTTGGAGACTGGCGAAACTGAAGCTCTCAGTGGACAAGAGACTCAGGACAGTGACCGTTATCTTATGCCAACCCATGTTGAAATGGGCAGCCGTGTTGAGAAAACATCAGAAGAAGACCTAGATAAGGCTGCGGAAACATTGCATCTCTCCAGGGAAGAGTTGGTTGAAACAAACAACCCACTGAATATGACAAAAGTGGTAGAGGACCCTAGGCAGCAAGGGTTATCCAAGGAGGGTAATGCTGACCAGGGTTGGGGAACTCCATCCGAAGACGTTGCTGCTGAAATCCCACCAGCAGAAGACCTCCAGATGGAGGGCCAGCTGGACTCTGATTACTTAACTACCACAGACCAGTTAGGATCCAAAGTGACACAGCAAGGAGAGGCTCACAATTTAGACCCTACTGAACCTCCAGAGAAGTTTGCGACCTCTGATGAAATTGCGTGTCACCAAGAAGAGATTTGTGAAACGACGGAGGAAGTGGACTCAGAAGATAGAAATGGGTCCTCTGAATGCTGGCAAATGGAGGACATCCTGATTCCAGAACCCCAGGTGGTACCCCGACGGGTGGACTCTGTCGAGTCTCCACGTGATGTGGTTTATGTCCCCCTTTTGGACACCAAGACTGGGATGCTTAAGGTTGTCCCAGGCGTTCTTCCAGCAGAAAACATAGACCAAATGGTCTCCAGTACGACTGAAGATGACCTATGTGAGGAACACCCAGAAGTTCAGAGGACGTTTGCTGAAGCCCTCCTTCAGGGTCTCCTTCCTATTTTGGAAACTGGGCACCCTCTGCAAAAGGAAAAAGAGGTGGACACCACCCTGCTTTCCCCGGACCCGTTGGAGGAGTCCGCATCTTACTCTTATCTGGAGTGCAGCTTTGTGGCCTGCCCCGAGGATGTCTCCAATGAAACCATGATCTTAGCTCCATCTCCAGATTCTGGAAGAGAAGAGTTTGCGACCCCTGATCAAACATGGGGTAGCCAAAACATGGTTGTGGAGGAGAGTCACTCTCCAACAGGCCTGGAGGCAGCAACCACAGAGTTGGAGCATCTGATGGTGGAGAACGTTGAGTTGGAATGTTTGGATGTTCCACCAAATTGTTCTCTAGAAGAGGTACCTCCCAAGCAGAGCACGGCAGTGTGTCTACATTATAGTGTTCTTGCCCACATGCCTTTGACCACCTCACACCCTGCTGTGAAGCAAAGAGATGTGTCTCCTCATCAACAAATCTTCTTAGCTTCTGAAGACAAGATCTATTTGAGCAATCTTCACAAAACTCAGGATAGTCTTTCCAGTAGACATGTAGAGATGGTGCAGGTGGAGAGCGAAGCTTCCACCCTAGAGAGCTCACCAACTATCCCTAGCCAGCTCGAACCATCTGGTGCCTTGTTTCAACGTGATGGTGATGGAGCCACAGTATCTCCAATGGCTCTGGAAGACCAGCAAGAGGTCACCAGTGTGCTGCAAGGCTCTTTTGGAAACCTGGAGGAACAAAGAGTGGAGAGCGCACATCTCATCAGTAGCCTCCTTGTAGCAGAAGCCCAGAGTCGTCTTGGTAGCCTGAAGGAGAACGTCTTGGAGAATCTTGGTGGAGAGCATGTAGAAGAAGTAGTAGAACCAAAATATTCTGAAGAACTTGAAGCCCAAAGGACCCTTGGGGGGGAGGAGACTGTCGATCACAAACAAAGCTCCTGGCAGTCTTGCAAGGAAGCCAAAGCTGAAGACCAAGCAGAGATGGTGGAGGAGGGTGGAACGGGAGAAGTCCTTCCCGTATCTGAAGGGAGTGAGGTGGAGGACTCTCAACTCCAAGGTTCTGCACCAAAGGAAGCCACCCAACTTGGCGTAGAAAACATTGTCTCTGCCCCCGGGAAAGATGAGGCTGAAGTCATGGATGGAAGCCCACCTCAAAGTCCTCCAGAAGACCTCCCAAGACTAGAAGCCAAAAGGATGGCCAACGAGAAGACCATGGAAGAAGCGTTGGAGGTGATGGAACTGGAGGAGGCGGAGATGAGCCATCCGATGATGGATAATCTTCTCACCGAAAGCACGGGACACTCTTCTTCAGAAGATGCCTTCTCGTCTCTGGACTCCCCCATTCCTCTGGCTTCCCGTTCCATCGGAACGTCATCACAAGAGACTTGCCCCTCACAACGACCATCATCCCCTGCCCCGGAGGAGGTTCCGGTCACCCTGCCTCCCGCCCTGAGATCTCAGTTCCCAGAAGTGCCTCCTGTTTCACCCTTGATTCTACCTTCACCTCCTTCCGAGGGTCCCGTTCAAGGACCATCAGCTACCTCGCGACTTGCTCCTTCGACCGCTGGTCCTTGTGTGGAACACACCCTTCTCAAGGAGAGTCTCCTGCAGGACACCCGCAAACCTCCAGTGGAAGGTAAGATCTTCCTCCCCCCCAACAATAATGGATAGTTCTTGACTTATGACCATTTGTTTAGTGACCGAAGTTAACCCCGAATAAAGGGACTTTGGGACCAATTCTCGGGATCGAAATTGGCTCATATTTATGGCGGTTGAAGCATCCCACAGCTCACACAGTCCCCTTTCGCAACCTTCCGACAATGCAGAAATCGGATTCACTTAACGACCGTGTTACTCACTGAGCAACTGCAATGGTTTGCTTAACAAGAGTGGCAGGGAAGGTTGTAAAATGGGACCAAACTCACGTAACAACTGCCAAGCAATGGTAGCTGACATGATTATGGTCGTAAGTCAAGGCCTAGCTGTAACATTGGGGGCAAATGTTAGATCTCTGTACATCAAAGTTGTACAGGGAGTCCTCGAAGTACGACCGCTCGCATAGTGGCCATTCAAAGTTACAATGGGACCTGGTGTCTCTGTGGTCACGTGACCCCATTTTGGACAGTCATTAGCTGGTCTGCTTTTATGACCGTTTGGCCACTAAACCCTAATTTACAATGTTCTTGCTGAAAATTGATGTTTTCAGTCACACCCGCCTCATATCAACCAGTGGGTCCACTTAACGACCGCTGTGTTTGCTTAACTACCGCAGTAGGTGGCTTAACGACTGCAGAAATCCCTTAACGATGGTAACAATGGCTTAACAAAGGAGGAGGGAGGAAGAAGAAGGACTGGGGGGAGGTCCTTGCTGCTCTCTGAGCTTGGTGGCTTTCTCGCAGACATTTCGTGACCCAACTGGGGATTGTTTTCAGTGCTAGAGCGAGGGGTGTTGCAGAGTAGGGAGGAGGAGGACTGGTGGGTCCTCGGTGCTATTTCAGCTTGGCGATTTACTTGCAGGACATTTCATCACCCAACTGGGGAACACCATCAGTGCTAGAAGGAACTATGGTTCTCTGTCCATGTACAGTTTCTTCCAGCACTGATAATATCACCTAGTCAGGTCCTGAAGCATCTGCGAGAAAACCACCAAGCTCAGAGAGCACCGTGGACACCAAACGTACAGTAAGACGGCCTGTCAATGAAATTTCAAGGAAAACCAATGGTTGCGGTGCGTCAACCCACCCAAGAAATGCCGGCCAATGGGAAAAGGGAAGGGTCCGAAGTCCCGCCTCTGAACTTCCTCTTCTTCCAGCTCTCCAGAGTGCCAGTTCTTCGGGTCCCGGCCAGCTCCACCAACTTCCCGGTGGCCAAGATGCCCGAGGGAGGAACCAGTTGCCCGGCAACCGAGACTCCCGCGTTAAGTATTTGGGATTAGCTCCGGAAAAGCGAGGTTCTCGGGTCTCCTTCCCTCCAGAGTCGAGCTCAAGTGAGGAGAGGGAGCTGGAGACGCTGCGCGAGGCGGGTATGATGCTCTTGGACGAGAAGACGACATTGGTGGGGAAGAGGGGACATGACCTGAACCACAAAGGTAGGAAGAAGTTGGGTGGAGTTGGCCCAACGGATGTTTTGCTAAGCGTGGGGCTCCTCTGTGGCTGGTGGAACGAAGCTCCGTGGGCTGGATGGCCGTGACATGTGTGCAGGGGGTTGGACTGAAAGACGTCCAGCTTCCCCTTCCAGCTCTAGAATACTATGAACTTTGGCGGGTTCTTCAGAAATGTCTAACGGGATGGACTAGAAGGCCTCCAAGGTCCCTTCCAAACCGAAGATTCTATGACTGTGCGACTCTCATAACAACAATAAGATGGGGGGCAAAGCTCACAATGTCTCACTTAACAACAGTGATGTGGGGCTCAATTGCCATCGTAAATTGAGGACCGAGCCTCAGTAAAGGACACCTCGGATTATTGAATACCCTAAATTAAATTAAAGACTTTTAATGACTTCTAAAGACTTTTAAAGCACTTCTTTATAAACTGGCAGCTGCTTTTCATACCACCACTCCACGGGCTGGATACTTTGCATGGGGTGGGGCGGGAGGGGATGGCGTATCCGGCCCGCGGGCCGTAGTTTGAGGATGCCTGCCCTAAAATACCTTTTTGCAGGATCTTCCAACGATTCCGAAAGCAACGAAGGATCGCTACCGGAATTGGAAGAGCCAAACCTCCCAGTACCACGGACAGCTCACGTGGCGCAGGTGTGGCCCTCACAGACAAAATGGGGGGGACGGGGACGACGACTTCAATTCCCAGAATTCCCTAGTCATTCGCACTTGAGGTGGGCCGGGCTGAGAGAGGGAGGCTAGAAGTCACCCAGCTGTCTTTCCTGCCTAAACCAGGACTAGAACTCCCAGACTTTTGGTGAATAGCCAAAAAGTCCCTCCAACCAGCCTTCACATCTGAAGTGGAACTCAGGTGTCTCCCAGCGATTGGCCTAAAATCGTCCAGCTTTCTTTCTTTTTTTAAAGCAATTTTTATTTATTTTTGAACAAAGACAAAAAAAAAAAAATCTTCCATTACAAATTGTAGAAAATGTGTCAGTATTTCCATGCATCTCTTCCATAGTCATCACCTACTTTTCATATCAAATCGCGTATTTTAAATTCACCTATATTCATGTATATTGCGATTATTATAGCTCAAGCTTAATTGTTTTTGAGCCAAAGGGGCTGACGTTGTGACGGCACGACGTGCGATCCTGGTGCTTTGAGATCGCAGTCGATATTTCTGCTGCTGGATGGTCCATTCGGACCTAAACCATCCCGCAGAGATGGTGATTGAGAAGGGCACCTCCTGCTGATCTCAGGGATACTGCAAAGTCCCTGAAAGATCCAGCTGGCTTTCCTACCTAAGGTGGAACTGGAACTCCCCGCCTCCTGGTGATTGGCCCTAAGTCACCTAGTCCACTTTGCTCCCTAAGCCACCTATTCCACTTTGCTCCCTAAGCCAAAACTAGAACTCCCTGTTACCCACCTGAGTGCTATCAATCGTTAATGGCTGTGTTCTCAAGACACCTGAAATTGCATCTATTCCATTGATAAATAAAAACGAAATTGCCAGATTCTAGACGGAATGGAGGACAACAGGTGATATGTGGACCTGGTCCAAATGTTCTGGGTTCGAATTTTGCCATCCCTATTTTGTTTTTAAACATTGAGGCGATTGGGCTATTTTCTCAAATTCTCTCACTGGATATGGACAGAGTTGGTCTTGCTTTGCACCAAATGCCTAGGGCAAAGGCCACAACTCTCTGAAAAATTGTGACTTCTGTGACCCACAATTGCAAAGATGGGAGGGTTGATGGGAAGATGCACAATAAAATAAATAAATAAAAGACCTTTTCAAAAACAATCTCAGACGCTTAATCGAGATCAGCTAAGTGCCTTTCTGGGAAGGTAAAGAGAAAGTGATGGGTCATTGAGGGGAGAGCATGAAAACGCTCTTTCACCCACAGCGATCCACTTAGGAGTAAGAGATCAGTAAATGGATTTGTTTTTTTGCAGAACCAGCTGACGCATTCCCTGGGGACTGGAGAGGAGTCCATTAGCAAGGCCAAACAAAGCCGGAGTGAGAAGAAAGCTCGAAAGGTAATTCCCTCTTCCCTCCCTCTTTTCTTCTTTTTTCTTTCCTTCTTCATCCATATCCTCCCTCTCTCCTCCTCCTCTCTTCCTCCCTTCCTTCCTTTCTCCCTTCCACATCCATATCCTACCTCTCTCCCCTTCCTCCCTCTTTCCCTCCCTCCCTCCTTCCTTCCTTTCTCACAAGTCACTCAACGCAGTGAACATATCCATCACACCTTCCTCCTCCTATTTTCTCCAAAACAACAATCCTGCAAGGTAGGTTGGGCTGTCAGAGAGGGACTGGCCCAAAGTCACCCAGTTGTCTTTTTTGCTTAACATGGAACTAGAACTCACCATCTCCTCGGGATGGGCTCAGAGTCACCCAGCTGGTTTTTGTGCCTAAAGAACTCATGGTCTTTACTAAGAGTGTTTATCTAGAGTTTCTTAGATTCCTGATCTGCTCTACCTCAAAGGGTTGGCAAGGTGAAAGTCTTCTACTCGGTGTAGTAGGCATCAGCCAAGGTATTTCCAGGTGCCACAGAGGGGTTGGTCTACAGGACCTCAGCATGTAGCATTGGGTGGGACAAGATCCTTCCTTCTCCTTGTTCTTCAACCAGCTCTTTGGTTGACCTACAA